AAAATGTATCATTTCCGGTTACATCTTTAATGTATTAGACATCCGACAACATTCATATTTCTCTCACTTAAACCGTCTTTGACTCCCCTCTCTAAAACTTCTCTCTGTTAAATTTTAATCCCCCATCTTCTCTCGTCTGTTACCCCTCTCTTTAGCTCTAACGTTCGTCCCACACTCTCATACTTACACTCTCTCTAAATTTTATTTTTTATTTCCGGAGTTATTTTTTCTGTTTTCTTTTTGAATTTGTAGGTCTGATGAATTGGATCGTATTTACGATTCCAATGGAATAAATTCTGACCTTGGAATATTAGTGTTTAAGCCTTTTTATTATTATTATTATATATATATATATATATATATATATATATATATATATATATATATATTGAGTTGTATAGATATTAGTTTGTAATCCTGGGGTTTACGCTTTTTGCTATCACCAAACACTGGTTTATTTTTTTAAAAGTGTTTTTTTTATGCTTATTTGTGTTTGATTATTTGTGTATGGTCGGATGTTTTTGGACAAAACATGCATACACCTGTATGTATGTATGTCATTGTGCTTGGGGGTGTCATCTCAAACAAACACAGAATAAAATTTCCTCCTCCACACACAAATAGTCAAACGCAAATAAGAATAAACTGATCCACCTTTTAAAACATAAAACAGTTTTTCTGATGATCGCAAAGTTTGAAACCCCGGGTCACAAAATAACATCCACACAGCTGAGTATATTAGCTCTGTTACAGATATTGAGCACTTTCCACTATGTACTGCACACACACACACACACATATATATATATATATATATATATATATATATATATATATATATATATATATATATATTTCAATAAAAAGGTGCAGTTAATTTACAAATTCATGAATTATTCATACAAAAACAGATACAAAGGTTAATGATTTAATTGGAGAAATCCATTGTCGCGAACAATTCAAATAATACAAAAACCCCGAACATCTATTCCATACCTGAATATGTCTGTAGGAATAGACGAAAGCTTGTAGTAAAAATAAGAACTAATGCAACAGAAATTTATAAAAACAAGGATCTTTTCATTCATAACAGGTTCAGGGTTTTTGTATATTATTTGAATTGTTCGACGATGGATTTCTCGCCAATTAAATCATTAACCTTTGTATCTGTTTTTTGTATGAATAATTCATGAATTTATATATATATATATATATATATATATATATATATATATATATATATATATATGATTATTATAATTAAATCGATTATTCACTACATATGAATGCATTTGTCATCTGGTCGTTTTTTTTTTCGTGTTTGTATTTATGTAATCTTTTTGTTTAATCAAATTGCTAACGTATTTGTTTCATAAATCCTCCTCTAAAAATCGATAGCTACTTAGGGCCGCTTAGTTCGGCACAAGGCCAAAAAAGCGGACCACACCGCGACAACCATATTAATTATTTACTGTTTCTTTGCAGGATTAGCCTGTTAACAAATACGTTTTAGTGTTTTCTCCTCCTGTGATATCAAGGGGGTCATATTGCTTGTTTAATTACAAAAAACACACCCGAAATTCTATTTCAATAATGTTTTTCAAAGTTATTTTCTTTCTTTTTTTAAAATCTCATACGAACACTATATATATATATATATATATATATATATATATATATATATATATATATATATTTTTAAATCTCATGACGAACACTATATATGTATAAAGATTAAGTCGGGGCCAACATGTGATATTTTCCTATGATCCTGAATCTTTTGTAAATGTTAATGACGGGATTATATTCTGATTAGCATCTGGTGATTATCCTGTATATTTCTAGGGAAATATGACCAGTCTTAAATCACTTACATAATTTTGTATAGTATTTCCAGATAATATATTATTACCTTCTTATTCTTAATCCCCAAAGGTGCTTTAACCTCAACTAAGCCGAGTTCAAAATAAGGCAACTGCCACTTTTTTCAAATTTGTTTCTACCATATTAAACATTATTTGCAAATTCAAAAATGATCCGCACTTTCACCATAAACTAACCTTAGCTTTGTCACACTGCCGTCTGCTCATGTGTGCTTATAATTGGTATTATTGTTGTCATGTGATCGAAGTTTGAGCTTGATCGCGCCAGGTTTCTTGCTGCCGTTACAGTGCGAACATTGCCGCTCCGCTAACAGTGTGCACCAAGGAGAAATAGATCTATGCATTCCACAAGAGTATCTACACGAAAGTGATATATAACGGATCCGATTGAAACTGGATCTCGGCTCTCCGAGTTCAAATTCCGACCCGCTGTTCATTACACCACTTGCACATCCAAGCATACATCACCTGGTATTCCAACGTTGTCACTTATCTAGTTCTAAACAGGTTAGACGTTGCTTAACTTCGGTGATCGTACTAGAAAACAGTGATATAACCGTAAGCCGTTAACATGTGGAAATTGTATGCTATGTAAACCATTTCCACCAGTTTTAGCGTCAAGAACATGAATGGCGGAGAAGGGATTATCTTTTGGGGAGAAAACTTCGCTTATTGTTCCTTCAAGTCTTTCAAGAGCACAAAATCAATGGTCTGGAAGATAAGCACTAAGATCATAAGAGTACATTAAAAAAAAATTATATCAATAATTTTATACGAAATAAAAAAATTATATGTAGTTTAGAACCAGGTCCGAGAATAAATACTGGCAGAAGTATTTCTAGATAAGGGAAAGAGATATTAAAAAAATGTCGTCAAAACCGTCGTTGTTAATGAAATGAACGTTTTTGCTAAGCGTCCATTCAACTTTGTCCCAAGTCAAGTATCAATGGATTGGGAGATAAGCATTACGATTATAAAATTATAATCTTATAGACGTTTTTGTCAAGTACTTGTATTTTAAATAAAACTTGTGTGTGGTCCAGAATTAAGGTGACAAATAAATCGGGAAGAAAGCATTTACGGACGAGGCTATGGGAAATCAAGTTATTAAAGACAGACATTTTAAACTATCTTCGTTCAGAAGTATCAATAATGTAAGACATAAGCACTACGATTGTTAGCGTACAGCAATATAGACTTCGCTTATAAACATTGTTCATTCAAGTGTGTCAAGAGCACAATATCAATGGTCTGGAAGATAAGCACTGCGATCCTTGTTGTTCATAATGACGGTCGTATTTGAGTATAGAATCCAGAGGTTAGCAGTGAATATTTCGAAGAAAGTAGGAAAGCGTTGTTCAGGTTAGCAGTGGATATTTCGATAAAAGTAGCAGAGCATAGTTCGTCCTTTTGGTTCTCTTCGCCTGACAAGCTGGAACTGGATATTTGGATAGAGTGAACAAAAATGGCCGCCTTTATACACGACGGATTGAATGTTCTACGTCTTCTGATTGGTTAAACTTCTATTGGTGGACTATAAAGGGAGTTAAGTCATTTGGGCTAACTCACTAGTTACACAGATATACACAAAAAACTGTAACAATCCTAACAGCTAAAATAAATTGCATACAGCTAAAAGAAAAAAAAAATTATATCAAGAATTTTATACGAAATAAAAAAAATTATATGTAGTTTAGAACCAGGCCCTAGAAGAAATGCTGGAAGAAGTATTTGTAGATGAGGGAAAGAGATATTTTTAAAAAATAGTTGACAAAACCTTCTTTGTTAATAAATGAAGGCTTTTACTCAGTGCTCATTGAAATCTGTCAAAAGTCGAGTATCAATCGATTGGGAGATAAGCATTACGATTATAAATGTATAATCGTAGAGACGTTTTTGTCAAGTACTTGTATCTTAAATAAAACGTGCGTCTGGTTCAGCATTAAGGTGATAAATAAATCGTGAAATCATTTACAGACAAGGCTATGGGAAAAGAAGTTATTAAAAACAAATAATCATTTTACTCTATCTTCGTACCGAAATAACAATAATATAGCAGATTGTTACCGTACAGCCATATAGAGGTGTTTGTGCGATTTAATGTTAAAGCGAGGAAGGAAAGATAGGGTTATAATGTACGAAAGTGAAAAAGGATTTTTTTAACAAGAATATTCTCATTAAAACCTCCATTGATGACGCAAGGGTCTGGGAGATAAGCAGTGTGGGTTCAAGAGTTTTCCAATTAATTCATTAATAAGTAAGGCGTATATATTATGAGCTTATCTAAGATAGACAATGGTTGACCCTAGAATTGAAGAAGTTAAGATTGTAGTGATCCGAGATTCATCGTCTCGGGAGTACTTTACGCAAAGTGACAGTTCTGAATAAAGCATTTTTGCGCGGTCAGACTCAAGTATCAAGAATGATGGTTAGAAAAAGAATATATTATACGACGAAAAGAAAGATAGGCATTTTGGATAAGTAGCCGTGAAGAGCGGTTTTCTGATTGGATCAACAAATTTGTGTGTGTGTGTGTGTGTGTGTGTGTGTGTGAAGTGTTCACGAGCGCGCGAATGTCTAATAAGATTAGAATAAGATCAGCGGCGATGATCGATGATTTTAGTGTACAAACAAAAACGATGCTCAGGCAAACATACGTAATCGATAATCCTCTTTAACACATATGGGATAATCCGACGGATTAGACAATATCCCTGTTGTTTTGTTTTGTAACGCATAGAGATGAAGATGTCAGTGTAAGGCGGAATATCAATCCATTGTAGAATAATCCGTTATTATCTAAATTCATTATATTATTATTATTTTTTTTTATAAAGATTCAATGTCTCTGTTTCATTTCTATCTAACCCGGTCAATTGATATGTCTACCAGTTCTTTCATCTTTCTCTCTCTCTCAGACACACACGCTCACACACAAACACACAGACTTTCTCTATACTTCTTTCGCTATCTATGTTCTTTCTTTTTATGTGTCATGTCCTTTCAGATCATGGCTCTCCACTTCTCCCTCTATCCCTTGCAGCTCTCAAAAGTCCCTTCCCTCTGCTTCCTCCCCTAGACCTCGTTCTGTCATCCACCTGTTCAACCTCGCTCAATATGTCACACGCTGCTTTCCCTTGTCTCTCTTTCTCTCTATTCGACCCGTGAGTATCAGATTCTCCAGGCCCTCTTTCCTCATTATGTGTTCCACAAGCCTAAGCTACTTCTTTCTGATGTTAAGTATAAGTCTCCTTCTTGTTTGCATCCTCCCCAGAGCCCCATCGTTGCTCACACGCTAGGTCCATGATATCCTCAGCATCCTTCTGTAGAACCACATCTCTGTCGCCTCGAGTCACTTCTTCATCTTTGAGGAAATTGTCCAGCATTGGCTGCCTTAAAGAAGGACAGATGCCACGTAACAGCTCAGTATTCTTTTCTTTGTTACCAAAGATATCCTCCTGTCACGGAATACTCTGCCCAGCTTTTGGAATGCGTCATTGGCAATCCCAACACGTCTACAGATCTCAGTGTAGCAGCTGGTCAGAGAAAATGTATGTGTTTTATCCTCTTCAAAAAAAATCCCTAAATGTTGCGTTATAAATTGATTGTAAAAAAACTCGACCTATACTAGAGTATGTAAGACAATTTTTAAGGTTTTTGAAAGTGTATTTTCTAATAAGTTTATTTTTATTCTTTCGATTGTCCACCAATTCATTCGCTCTTTCTTTCTTTCTTTCTTTCTTTCCTACTCCCATTTATTTCTCCGTTTTTCCTTTTCTTTCTTTCTTTCTTTCTTTCTTTCTTTCCGTAAGTGTCTATCTACATCGCACATTATCCTCTTCTAATTCTTTCTTTCTTTCTTTCTTTCTTTCTTTCCGTAAGTGTCTATCTGCATCTCTAATTCTTTTCTTTCTTTATCTCACATTATCCTCTTCTAATTTTTCTTTCTTTCTTTCTTCATTTTCATTTCTTTCCGTAAGTGTCTTTCTTCTTTCTTTCTTTCTTTTTTTTTTTCTATCTTTCATTTTCTTCTTTCTTTCTTTCTTTCCGTAAGTGTCTATCTACATCTCACATTATCCTCTTCTAATTCTTTTCTTTCTTTCTTTCTTTCTTTCTTTCTTTCTTTCTTTCTTTCTTTCCGTAAGTGTCTATCTACATCTCACATTATCCTCTTCTAATTCTTTCTTTCTTTCTTTCTTTCTTTCTTTCTTTCTTTTTCTTTCCGTAATCTCTTTTATTCTCTTCTCTTTCTTTCTTTCTTTCTTTCTTTCTTTCTTTCTTTCCGTAAGTGTCTATCTACATCTCACATTATCCCCTTCTACTTCTTTCTTTCTTTCTTTCTTTCTTTCTTTCTTTCTTTTTCTTGTCTATCTACATCTCACATTATCCCCTTCTACTTCTTTTTCTTTCTTTCTTTCCGTAAGTGTCATCTATCATCTCACATTATCCCTTCTACTTCTTTCTTTTCTTTCTTTCTTTCTTTCTTTCTTTCTTTCTTTTCTTTTCTTTGTTTTCTTTCTTTGTAAGTGCATATTATCCCCCTTTCTAATTGTTTCTGTAGAACCAGATCTCGAGTCTCTTCTTAATCCTTGAGGAGACCTCCAACATAGGACAGATGTCACGTAACAGCTCAGTATTCTTTTCTTTGTTACCAAAGAAATCCTCCTGTCTCGCAATAATCTATCCAGCTTTTGGAATGTGTCCTTGGCCATCCCAATACGCCTACGGTTCTCAGTGTCGCACTTACCGTCCCTTGTCAAGACGCTTCCCAGATATTTAAACTCACACGCTAGGTCCATGTCATCCTCAGCATGCTTATGTAGAACCACATCTCCGTCGCCTCGAGTCTCTTCTTCATCTTTGAGGAGGTTGTCCAACATTCGCTGCCGTAAAGAAGGACAGATATCACGTAACAGCTCAGTATTCTTTTCTTTGTTACCAAAGATATCCTCCTGTCTCGCAATAATCTATCCAGCTTTTGGAATGCATCCTTGGCCATTCCAATACGTCTACGAATCTCAGTGTCGCACTTACCGTCCTCTGTCAAGACGCTTCCCAGATATTTAAACTTCCGCGTCTGCTTGATTCTAGTGTTCCCAACCTGCAAATCGCATTTCGGGTTCTTCTTCTTACTGATGACCATGCATTTTCTTGTAGATTATGCTTAGTCCTTTCTTCTCACTCTCCGTTAATATTTACTCATCATGTAATAATTGTTCTTTTCCCTCCCTTTGTTTATTCGCACGACTTTTACGCCCTGCCAATACCTTATAAATAATAGACTATTCTTGTTTGATCGCGTGGAAAGAGAGGAAAAGACCCTACTTGGTTTCACTGAGAAAACGAAAGAAAGAAGAAAAGAGAAGATAGAACTGCTGAAAAGTCTCCTGCCAATACCTCATAAATAATAATAAATAATTGGTAGTTATAGAATTTGTCCAGGTATAAAAAAAAAAAACACTTTTTAGTTTTTCTGATTTTCATCATGAAGTCACTTTTATGTTACTGATAATCTTAAATCATATAGGAGTTTGGTTTTTATGTGCCGTGTCCTTTCTGGACGTAGGCGATCATGGCTCTCCACTTCTCCCTCTATCCCTTGCAGCTCTCAGCAAGTTCCTCCCCTCTGCTTCCTCCCCCAGACCACGTTCTGTCATTCACCTGCTCAACCTCAGCCAGTATGTCACGCGCTGTTTTCCCTTGTCTCTCTTTCTCTCTATTCGACCCGTGAGTATCAGATTCTCCAGACCCTCTTTCCTCATTATGTGTCTCATAAACTTCAGCCACCTCTTCCTGATGTTAAGTATAAACCTTCTCCTTGTTTGTAACCTCTCTAAGACCTCATCGTTGCTCACACGCTCGGTCTATGATATCCTCAGCATCCTTCTGTAGAACCACATCTCCGTCACCCTGAGTCTCTTCTTCATCTTTGAGGAGATCGACCAACATAAGTTACTATGTTCGTATTTACTTACATGTCACTATATACCTAAATATTTTATTTTATTTTTTTTAACCTGCTAATTTTTCCGAATACCGAAGTTAAGAAACGTCAATCCTCGTCAGTACCTAGGTTGGTGACCGCTTAGGAATTCTAGATGATGTAAGCTTGGATGTCTCAGTGGTTTAATGGACAATGACCGGGGATTTTTAATCGGATTATCGAGTTCTAATTCCAGTTGGGTTCGTTATATTTACTTACGTGCAGATACTCTTGTGAAAGGTATGAATCTGTAGCGACTGCTGTGTTTTTCCACGCCCACATCTTATTCGTCTGCGATTGGCTAATAAATCAATACTGCCTTTCTATAGGACAATTTAACCATCGCAGTCGTTGCTTTGAATTTTTCGGTTTTGAACTTGCTTACTTGTTTCGTTAGTAAAAATTTAGTGATTGGACAGTTATGAACCAATCACATATTTTAGTGCAAAATCAACTTTTCCCGCGGTTTCGCTGGGAGCCCATCTGTAGGTTTAAAAGAGGCGACTTTTTCACATATCGGTAGTCGAGTCCAGTAAATTTCGCCTGTCAACACAAATCTATGGCATTACTCACAACATTTCAAACGCACACACAGACACAGAATTTTTTAATACATATATACATATCTCTCTCTGACGCAGCCAAGTTCAATCAACCAGGACTCTGTTGATTTCTCTAACACAACACACTTTCTGATCAATTGTATTCTTGTATTATCTATTCTAACAGCAAACTTGTTCTAACATTGATTCCTGAACATTTCTCCCTCAAGAGAACTTTCTTTCGAACAATCAATTACAAATCAAAATACAGTAAAAGGGGAGCAACTTTTTTCCCTTAATTTATACATTAAATACAAATTATTGTATATTTTGTTCTTGTATGTTATTTCAATATATACTTGTTGATTCACATTTGGAGTTTTGTTGTTTTCTTGAATCATTAATAAAACAAAACGTATATGTGCTAAAGAACACACATAACAAATTCACCTCTGCTCACCCAGCTGTTATTTGTAATAACTGTGTAGTTAGAGAATTCACTCATCACACCGGAAAAAGCGGACATGTACCTCTTTGGCGTATAAATCTAACATGGCCGACGTTACGAGAAAGCGTCGCTGTCATGCGTTGTCGCGAGGAGCGGCCATTTGTAATCGCCCCACTACGCATGTGTAAAGCTATTTTTTTGAATACGTTCGGAGGTTTTTGAAAGTCGGACTGTTGGACGGTACGGTTGATTTCTTGCACTTTTATGCGCATTGGGATGTTTGTCATTTGAACTATATTTTCTTTCTGGATTTTACGATTTCTTTGTTCTGTTTTAAACTTAAGCTATGATAATAACTCTATAACAAATTGTCTCACAAAACAATTATTATCTTAAACAATAAAACAAAAGCGTGTGCAAAATAGTTAGATTTCGGCATTAAATAACCCACAGAGATGTCGATACACAAAAGAAAATAAGCGGATATGCGTCTAGCGTTATCGATGGGAAAAATGGAACGGTCGTGCCGAGTACAAATGCCGGGTTATTCAGTTGCGTTAAGATTTGTAAAGAAAATGCCATTAGAGAAGGCATGAAAACGTCTCTACTCTCCTACCAAGTAATGGCCAAATAGAAGGGTAGATTGAGTTCTCTACACTTAGACAATATAGTCGAGTAGCAAGCAGTCGAAGAAACGGTAATAGTGTGAATATAAAGAAACAAGCGAGAATCGATCGGGAATCCACTTCACTGTCTTTTACAAGAATGCATAGCGATTCGCAGATAATATCAAATTATATACTTAGAGAACCATCATGTCCTACGTCCTGAAAGAGTTTGGTGATTATAAAAAAAACATTCTGCCTTTACCTAGGTATGTATGTATGAAGGAATCATCAATCTCTCTCTCTCTCTCTCTCTCTCTCCCATCTATCTCAATCTATATATATATATATATATATATATATATAAATATATATATATATATATATATATATGTGTGTGTAAATGCGTATGTATATATATTCATATATATATATTCATATATATATATATATATATATATATATATATATATATATATGCAATTTGTATATATATTATTTATATATTATATATTCGGTACTTATTGGAAAGTGCTGAA